TATAACAACAACAGCTGATAGACCATAATAACAACAGCTGATACACCATAATAACAACAGCTGATCGACTATAACAACAACAGCTGATACACCATAACAATAAGAATGGATAGACTATAACAACAACAGCTGATCGACTATTACAACAACAGCTGATAGACTATAACAACAACAGCTGATAGACTATAACAACAACAGCTGATCGACTATAACAACAACAGCTGATCGACTATAACAACAACAGCTGATAGACCATAATAACAACAGCTGATACACCATAATAACAACAGCTGATCGACTATAACAACAACAGCTGATACACCATAACAATAAGAATGGATAGACTATAACAACAACAGCTGATAGACTATAACAACAACAGCTGATAGACTATAACAACAACAGCTGATAGACTATAACAACAACAGCTGATCGACTATAACAACAACAGCTGATCGACTATAACAACAACAGCTGATAGACCATAATAACAACAGCTGATACACCATAATAACAACAGCTGATCGACTATAACAACAACAGCTGATACACCATAACAATAAGAATGGATAGACTATAACAACAACAGCTGATCGACTATAACAACAGCTGATAGACTATAACAACAACAGCTGATCGACTATAACAACAACAGCTGATACACCATAACAATAAGAATGGATAGACTATAACAACAACAGCTGATCGACTATAACAACAGCTGATAGACCATAATAACAACAGCTGATCGACCATAACAATAACAGTTGATCAACCATAACAGCTGACACATCATAATAACAACAGCTGATCTACTATAATAATAACAGCTCATCGACTATAACAACAACAGTTGATCGATTATTACAACAGCTGATCTACTATAATAATAACAGCTGATAGACTATAACAATAACAGCTGATAGGCCATAATAATAACAGCTGATCAACTATAATAACAACAGCTGATCGACTATTACAACAACAGCTGATAGACCATAATAATAACAGCTGATCGACTATAACAATAACAGCTGACCCATCATTACAACAGCTGATCAACCAAAATCACAAAACTAAAGAACTAAGCTAACAGTGTCGATGTACCTGGCTGGCAGTTTTCCCAGCTGACACGGATGTTTCCAACTATCTTTAGCACTCAGCACACACATGTGAGTTTCATGCACACCTGCATCAATATGCATGTGGTAACCTGTACACATATGCAGGATATATTCACCACATATTTCGACAGATCTTTATTACTTTGTGTGGTGGAACTGTATTTTGTGTGTGTGTTAATTAGTATTTTGATGTAAAGTTCCGTTCAGAAATTCGTGGTACATTGGCTGTGAAAGGTGCATAGTCTGTTGTACCCTTCCTGGACGACAGGTCACTACGCCAACCCCCAAACACACAGTGGAACTGGCAAGGAGCAGTGTTGTAGGTGGAGTCCTCCCCTACAAACGCCGTGTGTTGCTGACTAGCTGACCCCCGCGAATTCACCAGCCTGCACCTCGTGGGCAAGGTCAGGTAACCAGCGCCCCCGAACAAAGCGGAGGTCTACAATCAAGCCACGCCTACCCCCGCTATATAAGACCTCACCTGGCCGTGACCTGCTCTTCTTCTAGCTACAGCCGCAGCAAGCAACACCTCCTCTGAGCACCCTCACCAACCAGCTCTCCCTACTCGCGCTTGTAACCACGCTGCCTCCTCCCAGCACCAGCCACCAAGCTGCATTGTACATCCAATATAATATGTATACAGAGAGCACATTGTGAGTTTCCTTTCTCCATCCCATCCTGAGTGCGAACCAAATATCACGTTCCCCACAAATAGTGACCCCCGGAGATTCGCACTCACACAGGATGGAGGAGAAACATCTCATGTAAACCTACAATTGGTGACCCCTGGAGCCGTGAACACCACACTCCTTTCTGCTGCCTTACTCCCGGAGCTGAGAAGATCGTCCTGCCTGCTGCCAGCCTAGGCCAACCGCCCTACCCGCACCACGTGCTACCCCACTACTCCACGACGACACCATCTCACGACCGTGTGACACACTTCCGCAAGAATGGACGGACGGATCTCTCTACCGACTTTCAACCACAACGTCGAGGACTGGTTAGATCATGTGGAAGCAATCCTCATCGGCTCACAACCTATTGACGAGGCGTGGACGAGGGGCTTGTGGTCAGTGAAGATGGCGAACTGACGGGCCTTGAGGAAGTGCTGGAAATGCTTGACAGAAAGATATATGGCCAGGAGCTCTCGATGGAAGGTGCTGTACTTCAGTTGAGGTGGTTGAAGCCGCTGTGATAAGGCAATGGGCATGAGGGTTCCGTTGATCTCCTGTTGTAAGACGGCGCCCACGACAGTAGAAGAAGCGTCTGTTGTGAGAGTGGTCCGGGCGTTAGGTGCAGGGTGAGCCAGCAGGGTAAGGCGTGTGATGTGCTGCAGCCTAGACCGTTTGTGCCTCACATCCACCGCCTCGCCATCTTCAACTGCATCTCCGGCAGGAAATTCCTCGTCAACACAGGTTCATCGGTCAGCATCATCCCTCCCTCATTGCAGGACACATCGAAGCAACCCTCATATGACCTGTTTGTCGCCAATGGTATCCCCATCACCTCCTATGGCGCACACATCCTCGCCTTAGACTTTGGTCTTCCCAAGACTCTGAGCTGGTCCTTCGTGGCAGCAATCGTCTCTCAACCCATCCTTAGCTTCGGCTTCCTCACCTTCCACTCGTCGTCGACCCCAGCAACCTCTTCCATCATCCTGCAGTAACACCTACATCTTCACCTGCATTGACCGTTTCACCACAGAAGCCATTCCCATGCCCAATGCTACAGCCGAGTCAGCCGCCCACACCTTCCTGTCTGGTTGGGTCTCCCGTTTCGGTCCTCCCACAACTGTCATCACTGACCGAGGAGCCCAGTTTGAGTCACAACTCTGGCATAGTCTCCTACAACCTCCGTCACTTCAGGCGTCTCACTGCTGCATATCACCGACTGCAGCCCAGCAGATCTCACCCTAGGCGAGCCCCTTCGCCTACCCTGAGACTTTTCACTTACTCCTGACCTTGACCACTTCACTCCTGCAGCCCATCACAATCTACTACAAACACTACGACCAGCAGTTTCTGCATTCGAAGCTACTGCCCCATGTCAGCCTCCCCATCGCCCTGAACACATCCCTCATGCACTACTCAACACCAAGTATGTCTTCGTTGGGTGCGATGCTCACCGCAACCCACTTCAACGCCCCCATGACAGACCCTTCCCGGTTTTTGCAAGGTCAGCGAAGTTCTTGACGATCATTCGCAATGGCAGACACGACACCGTCAGCATCGATCAAGTGAAGCCGGCCACCTTACCCCATGGGCCCCCATCCCAGCATTACCCCCAACAAACTACACCTGCACCAGTCTGCCCACAGTTGCCACTTGCAGCACCACCTTGTCCACAACAGTTCTGTGTGCCCTCCTTTCATTCTCAGGTACCTACAGCTCCTGATGAGGACCATGCACCTAGCCCTGTGGACCCAGACATCCCACCCAGCACCTCCAAAGACTGTGCACCTGATGCCAAAAAAACACCACATTCCCCCCCAGCAAACCTCGCCTGTACCCCATTCACCTGTCTGGTCACCACCCTCTTCTCTCCCTCGGGTACTTACTGCTCCTGACCCTGCTCCTGCATCCGGCCCTATGGACCTTGACACTCCAACCGGCGCCCCTGAGGACTTTGCACCTGCAGCAAGAGAAGCACCACATTCCTCGCCTGTTCAACCTTCCCTTATCTACAACCCTCCTTTTCCCTTTCCTTCTCCCACAGATTTCGTGTCACTAGACGGAGTCGTCACCCCTAGCGGCCGAGTGGTTTACACCCCCGCCCATTATGTCTCACATGTGAGATACAACCCTGCCGACAACAAGTCTCCTGCAGCACTCGGAGGGGAGGGGGAGTATTGTAGTGGATACTCTCCCCTACAACTGCCAACTGCCGTTTTGTCGCTGACCAGCCAACCCCGGGGCGAGTTTCTCAGACCAAGCCTCGCTTTCTGACTGCGCGGTGATTGGCCAGTTCCCGTCTTTCACCTCAGCCAATCAACAGCGCCACTCACTTCCGGCAGACTTGTATAAATACCCCCAGCCTCGCCGTGAAGATCATTCTGCTCTTGATATATGAGCTCTGTTCACCTACTTTTTAGTGTTCATTCAAGACCAATTTCCCTTTTGTATTCTGATATTGGAATGGATGCTCCTATCACTATAGATTTCTGCTCTCATCAGCAGGATATTCATAACAATATCCTTCCCATCTCCTTTTGGTGAGTAGTCATTCGAGTCAAACTGCTCTGTTACCAGCTACACTGTGTGTTGGTGGGAGGGTCGGCATAGTGACCTGTCATCCAGGAAGGGTACAACAGACTGCACCTTTCACTGACAGTGTACCACAAACTTCTGAATGGAACTGTACACTGTCGCCATTCCGAGATAACGAGCAACATTCACACATCCATCGTACAGAAGGAACAAGTTTAACAGCGAGAAAAGTTCATTATTTAAGATTGGTTTTCAGACAAATATCAATTTTAATTAATATTCATTACATTATTGGTCGTTTTGGTGAGGTGATGAACATATGCTAATGAAAATAAGTCTTATTTACCTCTGTAGTAGTAGTAGTTGTTGTTGTAGTAGTGGTAGTAGTAGTAGCTTCTGCCCCAATTCCGACAACTGCTGCAGATATCGACTACGAGGCTACAGTCACTGAATGCCGCATAGATCTGCGGCTCAACTAATTTAACACAGATAGGATAGCTTCTTATGTATTAGGATATTTAATATTAAGGTAAATTAATGGTGGCGAAGGTGTGGCTATTGGGGGAGGCTGGAGGCCACGTTTAAAAAAAAAAGTAGTAGTAGTAGTAGTTGTTGTTGTTGTTGTAATAGTAGTAGTTGTAGTAGTAGTAGTAGTAGTAATAGTAGTAGATATATTTAGTAGTAGTAGTAGTTGTTGTAATTGTAATAATGTATATTCAGTAAAATTGTCATCTAGATTTACAAATGGATGGGTATGTATATGAACTGCTGGTATACAGTTCAGCATGTACTGTATATGGTGCAGGTAGGGAGTATACAGTGTCCTGTGTACCAAGACAGTGTAGGTATATGGTGCAGGTAGGGAGTATACAGTGTCCTGTGTACCAAGACAGAGTAGGTATATGGTGCAGGTAGGGAGTATACAGTGTCCTGTGTACCAAGACAGTGTAGGTATATGGTGCAGGTAGGGAGTATACAGTGTCCTGTGTACCAAGACAGTAGGTATATGCAGGTAGGGAGTATATAGTGTCCTGTGTACCAAGACAGTGTAGGTATATGGTGCAGGTAGGGAGTATACAGTGTCCTGTGTGACAGGTAGGGGCAGGTATACAGTGTCCTGTGTACCAAGACAGAGTAGGTATATGGTGCAGGTAGGGAGTATACAGTGTCCTGTGTACCAAGACAGAGTAGGTATATGGTGCAGTGTAGACAGTGTAGGTATACAGTGTCCTGTGTACCAAGACAGTGTAGGTATATGGTGCAGGTAGGGAGTATACAGTGTCCTGTGTACCAAGACAGTGTAGGTATATGGTGCAGGTAGGGAGTATACAGTGTCCTGTGTACCAAGACAGTGTAGGTATATGGTGCAGGTAGGGAGTATACAGTGTCCTGTGTACCAAGACAGTGTAGGTATATGGTGCAGGTAGGGAGTATACAGTGTCCTGTGTACCAAGACAGTGTAGGTATATGGTGCAGGTAGGGAGTATACAGTGTCCTGTGTACCAAGACAGTGTAGGTATATGGTGCAGGTAGGGAGTATACAGTGTCCTGTGTACCAAGACAGTGTAGGTATATGGTGCAGGTAGGGAGTATACAGTGTCCTGTGTACCAAGACAGTGTAGGTATATGGTGCAGGTAGGGAGTATACAGTGTCCTGTGTACCAAGACAGTGTAGGTAAACAGTAAGACAACTTGACCAAGGATAACTGTTGGCTGTTTACTTCCAGGAGGATAATTTGTTAAGGCTTACACTAGTTTGTCTACAGCAGTACTGTAGTCAGTAATAGTTTGTCTACAGCAGTACTGTAGTCAGTAATAGTTTGTCTACAGCAGTACTGTAGTCAGTAATAGTTTGTCTACAGCAGTACTGTATTAGTGAAATTTTCCTGATAAATTAAACAAACATTACAAAAGTATGGGTTGCTGTCCATACCAACCAAAATGTATCTACAGTATTTCACAAGGAATAATCTGAACCACACCAGATAAATGAGGTTGGTATATAAGTCAAACTCCTATGGAATAAGTTTGAATGAAAATATAAAGGCAGGAAATCTACTTAAAATGGGAAATTAAACAATACATAAGGGCAAGTTGATATAATGCCCCGACTGACACACACTTTAAGGAACAGTACACAACGTTGACAAGCTAGTGAACCTGTAGAGATTGGAGTGGCTCCAGTATTACTTAATATAAAACAACCACACTCTATTTATGAAAAGCCCGACACGTATACTGTATACTCGAGATAAATGATGCGTAATTCACCTCAAAACGGTATTTAAATTATTTCCGTGTTTCTAAATGATTTAATTGCGAGTATGGTAAGTTCCTCCGCCCCTTCTCCTAAAGATGCATGGTTTCAACTCTCAACTCCAAGAAAATATTCCTTCATTAAACAGCAACCTCAACTTCTTGCCTGAAATTAAGATCCTAAAAACACATATGAATCTTTTCTCCACATAAGAAACTGTGTAGAAACAGAGCATTGATAGATAACATTAAGTTCTGTGGTGACTGTAATGGATCCCAAGAGACATACAGTAGTACTCGTGGCCATTTATATTATATACGGTAAATGATACGAGTTACCGGACCTCGTAAATATTGCAACAGTATCTCGCCATGATTGAAAGAAAGAATATAGTTTGCGTAACTTTTTTAATAAGTCAAAATCAGTCGTGTTACAATAAACTACGGTATATAATTAGCATAAAAAAAACACAAAAGATGGTCAATTTGTACACAGGTGACCATTTTAAAGCAAAGTTGTGACTCTTGTGAAATGATGATGTGGAATGGAAGTCACATTAACTGTACAGGATATATATTACCTCATACAACAGACAGTAGCTCTTACACTACATCAGGAACTAATTCATTATACATCTTGGTAGTGAACATCATTACTCAATAACCAGCACATCTCTGATCTCTCCTCCTCACAAGAAAAGACTCGGCATGTTCGGGTAGAAAAAATTACACACATTGACGGGAAATTTCAGTGAAGGTTTCTGGCTATCACAGAATACAGTAAACCTTTGTAATTTCAGACTTCAATTTGGAGTCGATATAAAAACTGTATTAATAAGTTGAGAATAAGTCTGAAATCTAGCTGTGTGATACAGTATTATGGTCAGTAGCTTGTTGACTTCACACGAGGTTCTTTTTCACTTATATTTTGCACTACAGTGAAAGAGCTATATGATGGTCTCCTCTGCATTTAACAAACCCTCGATATAATGGATTTTCACCTCGTTAGATGGAGTTTTAATATTTAACAGACCCTCGATATAATGGAATTTCCTCATAAAACACGACCTGAGAAAAACTGGAGAAAAGTATTAATTACAGGTGGTGAATGATGTCCCTGTGTATGTATGGAGCTGGACACTTCACCCGGTACATTGGCCAAAAAATAATGTTAGAATAGTCAATCTTAAATGTTTCTGTACCATAGTATTTTTCAAGATGCCAAAGAGACCCAGGCATTAGCTTGGTCTGGCCTTCCCTAGCTGGTCTGAAATTCCAAAGGTTTAATGCACTATATTTACTCCCAACAAATACTTCAATCATGTGTGATTTTTGGAACATTGGAGAATTTTTTGTGGAGAGTCTTTATAAAAATATTCCAACATTACTGATTCTTTCGTGCATCTGATCAATTATTAATTATAAAATTAACTAAAAAACCCCAAATGTAGATAATAAAAAAATACATACCGAATGTTTATTAAAATATTCTGAATAGTTTTACCGCAGAGAGAAAAAAAATTCCTTAAAATAATGTGTGAAATATATCAAGAGGTGGTAGGTAGGTAGACACAACCCAGCTCAGTATAACTCTAATGATTCAAACACAAATTTCCTTAATACAGTTTTTTACCGAGACCGGTCAAACATCGCCCAATATTAATAGCCCGTAATGTACCTAACCTAAACGACATGATTAGGTATAAGCCCCAGTCTCAGAGGCATCAATCGTTATGTGTATGCCCAAATGCCCAGGTGATAAGAAGGTCAGTTGGGGGGGGACCTTTTACACTCGGTACAAAAAAAAGTATATAACTCTTTTCGGGGGTTGTGTATAAGCCACTAGAGCGAGCTGTGGTGATTGGACAATGACCACCCCTTCCTGTGCCAGTGTAAACATTCTCAACAACCGATAAACTGTGTGGTTAATGGGTCAACTGTCTGTTATACGAGTTAACAATCTATATTAGTGACATAACAATATTATCAATGTTTCATGAAAAAAAAATTCACCAGGTGATTGTTTTGACTATAAGATATTAAAGTCAAGGAGAATTATTCCTTTATACCGCAGTGAACAAGTAGAGGTAACAAGCCGAGTCATATTATAGTGTTGTTGTTGTTCCCTTGACGAGCGATATGAAAATAATGTAAATGTCACGACCGCTGTTCAAAACACCGAAACAATCGACGGAGATGTGTTCGTGTACCGATTTCCCCCAACACGGCCTAACCCCCATAGCATCGAGGATAAGAACAGCACAGGGTACAGATATCAGCGTAGCGTCACTTAAAGTCTGAATTTACACGAGTCATTTCAGAGTGTCTCAATATTTCCCATTAAAACAATAGATAATGTTAAATGAATGGAATAAAATAATGTTAAAATAATGTTAATATTTGGTCAATTTAGTGTCAAAGAATTATGTAGAGTGAAACAACAGTGAATGAGGTCTTATAATCACAGTAGAGTACTCTTGTTACATTCTATACTGTACTGTATATCACAATGCCCAGTTATGCACCAAAGTTACAAAATAAAAATACTGTATTATGTATGACTGTGTAAATGTATCCCACCATAACCGTGTGTGTGTGTGTGTGTGTGTGTGTGTGTGTGTGTGTGTGTGTGTGTGTGAGCATCTGCAATTGCCTCATGAAAGTACGTGTGAATCTCACTTTGTGCATACACCGTGTATGTAAATGTCCCCAGGTGTGTACACATGCACCTCAGTCATGTCCGTGTGACCTATGTGTCCACTGCTACATCGGGCGGCTTACACACAACCTCCTCTCTCTCACACTACATCCTTCCTTAACTCTAACATCAAGAAACATTATATACAGCATCAACAAAATCTAGGAAGCAAAGGAACAAAATTGGAATGTCAAGAACTTCCGGGTGAAATCCTTACACACATGACTATCCCTGTTACTTATCAATACTCTGAGGTAATGTAAGTTAGAACATACATATATACACTACATCACACACGTTATATCACTTTACACACCACTATGTAAAATAAAAAAAAAATGATGAATAGGATGAATAATTGATGCAACGTTCACGACGCCATTATTATAGTCTCCTTAGGGATGAGAAGTTGGCACATATATTGTCATTAGGATTACCAGTTGTCCCGTGTTCTATACTAACCGTCCTGCCGCTTTAGCCAAATACACACCTCCACTCCCAAGATTATCGAGGAACAGGCTGAACTTTCACTCGGTATTCAAAACAGCTACATCTTGTTGTGAAATATGATACAGGATATGAAAATAATAATATAAGTATGTATTGTATGTAAACATTCGAGGTTTGGGATGATGCACGTACAGTAATAGCAAGTTCTCGACGGGTTCAGTATTTCTAAATCGTGATAACTTGTGACCTGTAAGATAAGATATGAAGGAATGTGTTGTTTGTCGTGTTGGAAGGGAAGATATTAGTCACTTATTACAACAAAATGAAGGTTATCTGGACATATATAAGGTGGCCCAGAAATATGTCCCTGCCTGCTTCCTGAGACATTGTGGGAGGGAGGGAGCAGTCAGGCAGTTGTAGACAAAGGGTTAAGACATAAGCCCCAATAAACACTAACCTAACCCAGCCATAAAGCCTGTGTGGGAGGTTAATGCAGAGGGAGGTTAATGCAGAGCGATGTGTGGGAGGTTAATGCAGAGCGATGTGTGGGAGGTTAATGCAGAGCGATGTATGGGAGGTTAATGCAGAGCGATGTGAGGGAGGTTAATGCAGAGCGATGTGTGGGAGGTTAATGCAGAGCAATGTGTGGGAGGTTAATAAATCATCAATAATAATAATAATACCTAATTGATTCTTGAGTAGTAATACACACACACACACACACACACACACACACTTACTAGTTGATCTCGGTCACATATGGAAACACTACAGCAGAAGGAGGGAGGGAAGAAGAGGAAGGGATGCAAGAAAGGGTGGGAAGGAGGAACAAATAGATGGAGGGAGAGAAGAAGAGGTAAAGGGTGAGGAGAGATACAGTAAATTGAATTAGACATTTGCTACAGTACCTTCCTAAGACACCGCTGCCTTAATTATTTACTTAAACTGAACGTCCACACTTGTGTTTATGGGACAGTCTGTGTAGGTAACTCCAGGCCAGTGTCTCGGGTGTGAGGCCAGTGTCCCAGGTGTGAGGCTAGTGTCTCAGGTGAGAGGCCAGTGTCTCAGGTGTGAGGCCAGTGTCCCAGGTGTGAGGCCAGTGTCTCAGGTGAGAGGCCAGTGAGGTGTGAGCCAGTGTCCCAGGTGTGAGAGCTGCCAGGTGTGTCTCCCAGTGTCTCAGGTGTGAGGCCAGTGTCTCAGGTGTGAGGCCAGTGTCCCAGGTGTGAGGCCAGTGTCTCAGGTGTGAGGCCAGTGTCTCAGGTGTTGGTGTTTAAGACTTCACCGTGAGGAAAGGCGCCGGAAACAGTTGAAGGTTAAGAGTTGCTGTGAACCAAAGGAAGACAAGTGACAGTGTGGCTATAGGTGTGTTTATTACAGAGGGCCTCACCTCACAGTACTGTACATACACCATCCTTCTCTGAATGTGTGAAGCCCAACATGATGATGATGATGATGATGATGATGATGATGATGATGATGACGATGATGATGAATTTTCAGGGTGAATTGTTAACCAGATCTAACATATTCATGCTTACAGTATAACACAATGTAGGCACAATGTTGATGATTGTTTCACTGTCCTCAGGAACAAGTAGAAGTTTTCCTTAAAAGTGGGCACAGTAATTCAGTAGCCCATGTGCTGTACAGTACACAAGTAACAGCTGTACAGTACAGTACACAAGTAACAGCTGTACAGTACAGTACAGTACACAAGTAACAGCTGTACAGTACAGTACAGTACACAAGTAACAGCTGTACAGTACAGTACACAAGTAACAGCTGTACAGTACAGTACACAAGTAACAGCTGTACAGTACAGTACACAAGTAACAGTTGTACAGTACAGTACACAAGCACAGCTGTACAGTACAGCACAGTACACAAGTAACAGTTGTACAGTACAGCACACAGCACAGCTGTACAGCACAGTACAGTAATAATAGTAACAGCTGGTACAGCACAGTGCCACTGGGCAACAGCTGTACAGCACAGCACACAGTAACAGTTGGGCTACAGTACAGCACAGCACATCAGCAACAGCTGTACAGCACAGCACACAAGTAACAGCTGCACAGCACATTGGGTGCACAGGCCAGGCCAGGCACAGCACACTGGGGGCAACAGTTGTGTACAGGCACAGCACATTAGTAACAGCTGTACAGTACAGCACAGCATAATAAGTAACAGCCAACAGCACAGCACATTGGCAACAGCTGCACAGCACAGGCACACAAGCAACAGCTGCACAGCACAGTACACAAGTAACAGCTGTGCCAGCATAAGTACACAAGTAACAGTTTTGTAATAGTATAGTACAATAAGTAATAGCTAGCAGTACAGTATAGTACACACAAGTAATAAAGGTACAGAAATAGCACACAAGTAACAAGTTGTACAGTACAGTAACAGTTGTACAGTACAGCACACAAGCAATGAAGCTGCACAGCACAGCACAGCACACAAGGCAACAGCTGTACAGTACAGTACACAAGTAACAGCTGTACAGTACAGTACAGTACACAAGTAACAGCTGTACAGTACAGTACAGTACACAAGTAACAGCTGTACAGTACAGTACACAAGTAACAGTTGTACAGTACAGTACACAAGTAACAGCTGTACAGTACAGTACACAAGTAACAGCTGTACAGTACAGTACAGTACACAAGTAACAGCTGTACAGTACAGTACACAAGTAACAGTTGTACAGTACAGTACACAAGTAACAGCTGTACAGTACAGTACACAAGTAACAGCTGTACAGAGTGTGACACAACAGTGTTAGTGGTCCTCCTTCACCATGACCATCACAGTAACAACAAGTTAGTCAACTGTCAGTGCCATAAACTCATCTCAAGATTCTGCCATACAACTGACAAAGCATCTCTATAATATTATGTGTAAGCTGAACTGTACGGTAGTTTAATGCCTGAAATAATAAATGTTATCAAAAACTAAATTATTGCTCCTGAACTTGTGATATCAAGCAGATATTTGCTTAAGTAATCCAAAATATAACTATGATACATTATTTCTTTTGTCCTCTTGTTGAGGCACAGCTAAAAATAATGATGAAGCCCTTCAATTAATATATTTGTTATTAATGAAAAACTTCCATCTGGTATGAATATAACAAAATAGATATATCACACAGAGGAGACCAACAGAAGCAAGGCCGCTAGACACAGTCATTCACGAGGTTCTTCCTTCACACAAGAACTTGAGGGTCAGTCATTCACGAGGTTCTTCCTTCACACAAGAACTTGAGGGTCAGTCATTCACGAGGTTCTTCCTTCACACAAGAACTTGAGGGTCAGTCATTCACGAGGTTCTTCCTTCACACAAGAACTTGAGGGTCAGTCATTCACGAGGTTCTTCCTTCACACAAGAACTTGGGGATCAGTCATTCACGAGGTTCTTCCTTCACACAAGAACTTGAGGGTCAGTCATTCACGAGGTTCTTCCTTCACACAAGAACTTGAGGGTCAGTCATTCACGAGGTTCTTCCTTCACACAAGAACTTGAGGGTCAGTCATTCACGAGGTTCTTCCTTCACACAAGAACTTGAGGATCAGTCATTCAAGAGGTTCTTCCTTCACACAAGAACTTGGGGATCAGTCATTCACGAGGTTCTTCCTTCACACAAGAACTTGAGGGTCAGTCATTCACGAGGTTCTTCCTTCACACAAGAACTTGAGGGTCAGTCATTCAAGAGGTTCTTCCTTCACACAAGAACTTGAGGGTCAGTCATTCACGAGGTTCTTCCTTCACACAAGAACTTGAGGGTCAGTCATTCACGTGGCTCTTCCTTCACACAAGAACTTGAGGGTCAGTCATTCACGAGGTTCTTCCTTCACACAAGAACTTGAGGGTCAGTCATTCACGAGGTTCTTCCTTCACACAAGAACTTGAGGGTCAGTCATTCACGAGGTTCTTCCTTCACACAAGAACTTGAGGGTCAGTCATTCACGTGGCTCTTCCTTGATACTGACGCCCTGTAAGTTAACCATTTCACCATTAGCTTGCTGCACTGGTAAGGCCTGAGGCCCCATAGGTCCAGGAACCACCTGCTCCTGGCTCACCTGGGCTACGTACCCCTGAGAGGCATGTTGACCCCCGAGAGCTGAAGGTATCTGCAGATGTGGAGTGCCCTGGGTCCCTAACTGGTGCAGCTGGGGAGACGGCTGTAACTCATGCAGCTGCAGGGTTAGTTCTGATGATTCTTGCTCTCCTTGTTGGTGGTGTATGTGCTGGGGATACTGCTGCTGCTGGTTTGGAAGATGTTGTAGTTGGTGATGGTGTTGTAGTTGTTGTTGCTGATGGTGTGTTGGAAGCTGTTGCTGCTGCTCTGGTCCAGGAACCTGCTGCACTGCTGTTTGCTGTGCACCTGCCTGCTGTGCACCAATCTGCTGTCCAGACACTTGCAGGCCGGCGTCCAGAGGAGCTCCGTCGCCAGAACTAGAGAACGCTGCAAAGTACCTGTCGTAGTTAAATGGCCGGGCACCAGTGTGTTTTCTCTGGTGCTGCATAAGACCGTCCTTAGAGGTAAAGGCTTCGCCGCATATGTCGCACACGTTGTGCCAGTAGGACGACTCACCTCCCGAGTGTTTCAGCTTGTGGTAGTCCAGGCTAGCACGTACGGCAAACATGGCCCCGCACTCCTCGCAGCCAAAGGGCCGGTCGCCGGAGTGCTTTCTTTTGTGAACCATCAGGGTGTTCATTTTAGCAAAAGTCTCACCACATTCAGTACAGGCATAGGGGTTCTCCGAGCCGTCTTCCTCCGCGGTGTTTTTGGCGCGTTTCTCCGCACTCAAGTTGTCACTCAGGGTGTAAGCCGCCTCCCACTCGTCGCTGTCGTAGCGCCGCTTACAGACGTGTTTACGTTTGTGACGCTGCAGGTTGCTGCTGTTCATGAACGAAGAGTCGCACTCGTCACACTTAAACGGTCTCTCCCCCGTGTGCTTCCTGTAGTGCATGTCCAGCTGACTCTTCTTGGGGTACGACACACCACAGATGTGACACTTGAAAACATTCTTAAATGTGTGATCTTTTTTGTGCATATCAAGTACAACTTTAAAAGGAAAGTCCTTGCCACAAACATCACACTGGTAGAGTGTTGCCCCACCATTCTGCTTGCTCGTGGAGGCCCCTGTTGTACGTGACATTTTGCCTGTGCTAGACATTTAAGGCTGAAGATCAGCATCTAAAATGCAGTTTACTCGGGAAAGTGACGAGTCCCATTTCATTCCTGAAAGAAAAAACAGATTTAGAGGCAAAAGAGAATAAACTTGTAATAAAGTTTAGTGTTCTTCACATATTACAAGAGTCCACCTCTTACTGTGTGTGTGTCCACTCTACAACACTTACCTCATCATCATCATACATAATGTTCACTAAACCATCATTTACTACATATAAGATCAACCTTGCCTATCCTTGCTTTGGTTAAGTTAGGTTAGGTTACATAGATTAAGTTAGATTAAGTAGGTTAGGTTAGATAGGTTAGGTTAGACAGATTAAGTAGGTTATAACTGTGCCCCAGGTCACTGACCTGCATCAGGGACTGAGGGGCAAAAATTTAATAATAATAATAATAATAATAATAATAATAATAATAATAATAATAATAACAATATTAATAACACTAATAATAATAATAATAATAATAATAATAATAATAATAATAACAATACTAATAACAATAATAATAATAATAACAATATTAATAACAATAATAATAATAATAATAATACTAATAACAATAATAATAACAATATTAATAACTAATAATAATAATAACAATAACAATAATAATAACAATACTAACAACAATAATAATAATAATAACAATACTAATAACAATAATAATAATAACAATACTAATAATAACAATATTAATAACAATAATAATAATAATAACAATATTAATAACAATAATAATAACAATATTAATAACAATAATAATAACAATATTAATAACAATAATAATAACAATATTAATAACAATATTAATAACAATAATAATAATAACAATATTAATAACAATATTAATAACAATAATAATAACAATATTAATAACAATATTAATAACAATAATAATAATAAAGAAACAAAGAAATGCAAATATGAAAAAGATCAAGAGTGAGAAACAATATATGTATGTTGTGTTGTGTTGTGTTGTACTGTGTTGTGTTGTGTTGTGTTGTGTTGTATTGTGTTGTGTTGTGTTGTGTTGTGTTGTGTTGTGTTGTGTTGTGTTGTGTTGTCAGGGAAACAATTGAGACCCTGTGTGTAAATGAGGCAGAAAGTCAGATCATCAACTTGGTCACACATGGCAGCAGGGTCTACCATTACACAACACATTATGCTTCCTCTATCTTCCCAGGCGGTAGTACCTCCCTGTTTGGTTAAGTTAGACAAGTTAAATTAAGTAGGTAAGGTTAGATTAAGTAGGTAAGGTTAGATTAGATGTCCCTCTGTGGCAAGCTGGCAGTGTTCGTCTGTATGAAAAGGTCAGGAGGAACTGCCAAAATAGTATTATAATATTTAATAAGATAGTTTTCATGTTCTATATAAATAATGTTGTCGATACTGCAGTTTACGAAGATATCTTCAGTCTACCCTAACCTAACCTAATCTACCCTAACCTCACCTACCTTACCCTACAGTACTATAACTTAACGTCAATGAAAAGTGTCTTACAATTATCTAAACCGTCGGTAAACCACATAACTGTACAGTACTCGACTCAAGATCTGTGGTTCGTCGAAAGTACAAATTTACAAAATATTCTTAGTAATTTAGTACCTGTATTTTTAAGTTAGGTTAAGTTAGAGTACTGAAGGGTAGGGTAGGTTAGGTTATGTTATAATACTGTAGGGTAGGTTAAGTTAGAGTACTGTAGGGTAGGTTAGGTTAGAGTACTGTAGGGTAGGTTAGGTTAAGTTATAATACTGTAGGGTAGGTTAAGTTAGAGTACTGTAGGGTAGGTTAAGTTAGAGTACTGTAGGGTAGGTTAGGTTAGAGTACTGTAGGGTAGGTTAGGTTAAGTTAGAGTACTGAAGGGTATGTTAGGTTAAGTTATAATACTGTAGGGTAGATTAAGTTAGAGTACTGTAGGGTAGGTTAGGTTAGAGTACTGTAGGGTAGGTTAGGTTAGAGTACTGTAGGGTAGGTTAGGTTAAGTTATAATACTGTAGGGTAGGTTAAGTTAAGTTAGAGTACTGTAGGGTGGGTTAAGTTAGAGTACTGTAGAGTGGGTTAGGTTAAGTTAGAGACACTGAAGGGTGGTGGGTTAGGTTGGGTTATAATACTGTAGGGGTAGGTTAAGGATTAGAGTGTACTGTAGGGTGGGTTAGGTTAGAGTACTGTAGGGTAGGTTAGGTTAAGTTAGAGTACTGAAGGGTAGGTTAGGTTAGAGATTATAATACTGTAGGGTAGGTTAAGGGTTAAGAGTATTACTGTAGAGGTGGGATTGGGTTAAAATGCTGTAGGGTAAGAGTTAGGTTAAGTTAGAGTACTGTAGGGTAGGTTAGGTTAGAGTACTGTAGGGTAGGTTAGGTTAAGTTAGAGTACTGTAGGGTAGGTTAGGTTAGAGTACTGTAGGGTAGGTTAGGTTAGAGTACTGTAGGGTAGGTTAGGTTAAGTTAGAGTACTGTAGGGTAGGTTAAGTTAGAGTACTGTAGGGTAGGTTAGGTTAGAGTACTGTAGGGTAGGTTAGGGTAAGTTAGAGTACTGTAGGGTAGGTTAGGTTAAGTTAGAGTACTGTAGGGTAGGCTAGGTTACATATCCAAACTATCAATTTCCGGTAGTTTTGAGGTGTTTTGAACGATTTTCATCATATCTGCCGGAAATCACATAGTCTAGACATCTAAACACAGGGTTGATGGTAACTAAAATTTTACCACTTAATTTCTCGGACGAAACCAAAAATACCACAAAAAATAACATTACAGAAATAGCAAGGGTAAATAATCGGTAGTTGTCATGCAAGGAAACTCTATATTGATTTGTATGAAAGGAAATAGAGCAAAATAACAACCTAATCTAACCTACTCTAACCTAACCAACCCTAATCTAACCTAACAAACACACAGATTAAAACCTTCCTCGTAAAATTCAAATTAATAATCAAAATATTTTCCTGTAGTGATTATGACGTTTTGTAAATAGCTACCACAAAACAATTATAATTAATAACAGACAATTATCTAAAACAATACGTTATTACAATTAAACTAAACTGTCACTAACTGTCTCTACTCATAATTAACCATAACTAACAACTAAATACATATAACTAAACATATATCTAACCAAATTAACACCAATAAAATGAAACTAATAATCGTAAACAAAAATTAATCCCAGACTCGCCTCATCACCCGGGTTTTATATCACTTTATTATCAGATTTACAATAGTTATAACTTAGTAATATATTCACAAGTGTTGTAAATTATCCATATTATATTTCTTACCTTATAAATATGGTCGGTAAGGAGGTGTGAGGGAAGGAAAGGCATCGTAACTTGCAGCTGGCTAGAGGCAGTGGAGACAACGTGAAGCCATTTTGTTTTGGGGGGGAGACTGACAGCTGATGAACAGAAAACGGGGTGGATATATGGGTGGATAGATGGGTAGATGGATAGATTGATAAATGGGTAGATAGATAGATAGATGGAGAGATATATAGTGATAGCGTATTAAGGGTAAATCATGGAGGCAGGGGGGGTACCTTAAATTTGGGGAGGACACGGCTCTCCCTCCCTCCCTCTTAATAGGTACTGTAGATAGATAGATTAAGGGTGCAAGTGAAACACGCCTCTCCCTCCCTCCCTCTTAATAGGTACTGTAGATAGATAGATTAAGGGTGCAAGTGAAACACGCCTCTCCCTCCCTCCCTCTTAATAGGTACTGTAGATAGATAGATTAAGGGAGCAAGTGAAACACGCCTCTCCCTCCCTCCCTCTTAATAGGTACTGTTGATAGATAGATTAAGGGAGCAAGTGAAACACGCCTCTCCCTCCCTCCCTCTTAACAGGTACTGTAGATAGATAGATTAAGGGAGCAAGTGAAACACGCCTCTCCCTCCCTCCCTCTTAATAGGTACTGTAGATAGATAGATTAAGGGAGCAAGTGAAACACGCCTCTCCCTCCCTCCCTCTTAATAGGTACTGTAGATAGATAGATTAAGGGAGCAAGTGAAACACGCCTCTCCCTCCCTCCCTCTTAATAGGTACTGTAGATAGATAGATAAAGAGAGCAAGTGAAGAAACATCACCATAGAAAAAAAATTGAAGCATTAAGGTTTATCAAGTTGTAACGAGAGAATGTTGCCACTGCCAATGAATATAATTAAGCAGAGAAATGTTGAGTACTTCTGGTGGTCGGATATTTTCAGATGTAATCAAATGTACAGTAGCAGGAAACATTAGTGAATCACTTGGCGAAGTTCCTAGTAGAGAAGTGAAATTCGCCGACTTGATTGTTATTAGGTAGATAAAAGGTTGTCTGTGTATATAATAAAAACAGAGAGAAATATGAGACTAATAGGATATGTAATTATATCTGATGAACCGAAAAATGGCCGATCTTTTACTATTATCCTCTTCGCCACTGATCGGCTCGTTAGCAAAAACCAAAAACAACCAAGGTGTTATGTAACAGAGAGCCAGTACTTGCCGACAGTATGTAACAGAGAGCCAGTACATGCCGACAGTATGTAACAGAGAGCCAGTACTTGCCGACAGTATGTAACAGAGAGCCAGTACTTGCCGACAGTATGTAACAGAGAGCCAGTACTTGCCGACAGTATGTAACAGAGAGCCAGTACATGCCGACAGTATGTAACAGAGAGCCAGTACTTGCCGACAGTATGTAACAGAGCCAGTACTTGCCGACAGTATGTAACAGAGAGCCAGTACATGCCCAGTACTTGCCAACAATGTGTAACAGACGTGACTCGAACTTTCAGAGGCGACACTATGGATGAGAATTTTCACGTGTTATCCGTTTAAGGATTTTTTCTTTAATGTCCACATGTATTCGTTTTCTGTGACAGTGACTCAGGATTTTGTGGGTAACTCTACCAAATTGACTAATATTCATACTACATTGTGAGGGACAAGATGACTGATACTACAGATGGGAGACAAAATAACTACAAGGGTTGGGAAACAGGTTGGCTGAGTGGGTGGGATTGGGAAGACAAAGTAGCTCAGCAACAATAGCAAGGTCATGATATTAGATTGGTTTTGGGGTTGACCAATGTGTTTACCATGGTTTTTGGCGTGTGTTCCGAAAAATCAATATTAAAATCGAATAAAACCACAGAAAAACATATTGCTCGAGAGCCATATTGGTTGAAGATATAAATTTACAACAAACAAAAACAATATATTAGATCTTACAATAATAAGCAATATTGACTTAACAAATAATTGATCCCTAGGAGATAGACACAAAGACTTCCTTCATTACGTTAATTACTTGAATTACATGTTGTTCACCCTCAACTGTGTCTAACTCCTGTCTGTGTTGCATTTATATAGATTATTAATTTTGATATAGCCTTGATATATAACACGCAGTATAAAGAAAACTCGTATATAATTAATATAGTAATCTGTTATGGGTGATATAAGTGATTATGTCTGTCGTGTACATTTTAATGAAGCCGAAGTCAAAGCCATAGATTAAACCGGAGACAATGTTTACAGCTTCGTTCAGTAATACAATATTAAGTAAATTATATGACTCATAACCTTAATATACCTTATCATATAACTACCAGCCATATAATAACCAGAAATAAATATTTTACTCCAACTAATATATCACAAATTAATCAAAATATTACTTTATTTTATGTTCTCGGTGTTGAGGAGTAGAGAGCCAACAGGTGTGTCAAGGGTCGTCAGCACCAACACGGGACAACTTATCTTGTTATCTCCTCAGTGTTTATCTCTTCACTATGACTGATGCTGACCTAACTACCAAAATGACGTCTAACGAGCCCAAGAATTACCTGGGGTTTGACTTTAGTACACAACAGGTGAGATGGGCTCCTAGTTCTATTTAAAACATTAATAAAAATTGAAATATAAAAACTTATGATTTTAATTGTCATGTTCTTATTTAATCTACATAATATAACTTAAATTCCATCACTGACAGGATTAACTCACTGAATTTGACGTGTTTGTGAATCTAAATTGTTTCAATACGTGCTTCTGTATGTTAAAATATTTATTATTTATTAAGTATTGATGTTTCTTGCCTCTATTTGGTTTAGGAAGAGTCAAGGCTCATTATTAGTCCTTGGCACAGTTAGGTAAGCTGACAGTGCCTGGGTTGGGTGTCATGGGCCGGAGCATTGAACTCAGGTCACAGTTGGAAGAGATACACACATTACTGACTACTAGTTAATAGAAAGTTATTAAGGTATTATGCGTTTACACACCGTTCATTCTTACCACTAATCTATTATCAGATTCGAATAAGACATCTAATTATAAGATAATTTTCATCTATTACATTACGGCGAAATGTATAATAACGAGATAGCTTATCCATATTTTCTCTATTTTCTTCTATTAATCTTCAGCCATTATCGTCTGCCTCTCCTTGAACACTGCGTGTCTCCTCGTCTCCTTCATAAATCATCACGCGCATGAGTTCCCGTACGTCAGCGGCCAATCAAAAGCGTTTTTGTTTTTGAAACCAATTAAAATGATTTGGGGTTTAATTAGCGTTATATTTGGCCCAATCAAATTCGAGTTTTATTTTGGGTCTCTCATATTTCAAAATTCAGTTCAGTAACTTCAGTTCCGACCATGGCAATCACTTAAATTATATGGAGCTTATTGCGAGTTTTTGGGAAAAAACGAAGAAACTGTAGCATTTTTCGGATCGCAGGTGTTCTTCCATCCTCAGTAAAGTGTACTAAGAGCAAGACAATGTAAATATCTAAAGACCAACAAATGTGACATTGTGTAAGAATCTCAGAATCAACGACGAACAAGAACCAGGCCCAGTGCGGATTTAGATCTGTGGGCCCCCCTCATTATAACTACCCAAGAGGGTGGGGTGGCGAGTGAGCGAGCCTAAACATCTGGGAGTTCGGGGGCTTCAGTGCCCCGGAGAAAATTTTGAAATTTGAACACTTCTTTGGAGAATTTTGAAGCCATATGCAGTTATATTGAGAATTAGAACATTGAGAAATATTTAATTAACTGTATATTTATTGATACTGTACAAATTCCCCCACACACACAAAAGTGAGATGACTGGAGTCATTCATGTGGTTTCAAGTCGACCAGCCTGATATAGCTACTACACTTTGTAAAAATTTCAAGACTTCACAGAAAAGAATATGTTATTAATTATTACAGAGAGATGATTCTTTGCATTATTAATCAGATAAACCTCTACTCAAATAATGGTTCTGTCAAGAATGCATGTATAGGCTTCTTTAAGTCCAAGGTCAGATAGTTTCAGAATAAGTATAAACTCAACTATAAATAAAATTGAAGTTTTGCATCCAATAGTAAAACAAATAAACAGTTTAATGAATTTGATAAAATTATTACAAAAGTATGAACATGTTTGAAACCACAAAGAATCCAAACTGAATAAACAAATAAATAAAAATATTGTAATATGTAGGCCCCTGGGCAGCTGCCACTTTGCCCATTCCTGAATCCAGCCTGACCAGGCCAATAAGGTGAGAAATAGGTTATTCCATCATATGGTGAGAGTCAGTTAGGTTAGGTTAGGTTTTTTGTTTTTCTAGTGTATTTTGCCATGATATTTTTTTGGAAAACGTCCATGAAAAAAATTAGAAAAAAAAGTTCATTTCCTCCTGAAATGAAGGTCATATTCGGTCTAAACACACACAAATACACTAGAAAAATATATTTTTGACTTTCTAACAGAGAATGGTGTGACAATGTAAATTTACCGGTATTAGTTTAGTTTTTAGGTTTATGGTTAAGTTAAGTTAGGTTAGGTTAGGAACCAAGCAAAGGCAGAGTGTAGGAGGGCTGAAAAAGGGTTCCAGAGGCTGGTTGCATTGAGGTCAAGTCAAACCCAAAGGCGTTTTACCGCTATGCAAAGTCGAAATTAAAACGTGAGTAGGAGTATCAGACCTGAGGCTGGTAGTTATGCAGATTATGACCAGGACAAAGCTAAAGGTCCATCAGAGTCCTGGCCTGACATGGTGCATCCCAGAGTGTTAAAGAGGTTGTGCAAGAGCTTGTCGAGCCCGAAAGATCCTGTTCTGTAAATGCCTGGATGAACAAAAGGTCCCCAGTGAATGGAAAGTGGCTTATCGAGTCCTATCTTCAAGAAGGGCGTCGTCCTCCTCGAACAACTATAGACCGGTGGAGTCTGACTAGCAATATGTAAAGTACTTGAGAAGCATTATGCCATGATGTGAGAAGAAGTGTGTGTATGTTGACAATGAACTGAAGTTCTCGGGCCATTGTGAGAAGAAGGTAAATCAGGCAAATAAATTATTGGGTCTTATAAGGTCGTTCAGATATCTTAACGGTCCGTCCTGTAACAATCTTCAGAGTGAAGTGCTTCCCCATCTGGAGTACTGTC